ACTTAAATAATTCTTCATTTACATTCATTCGGTACAGAATAAACTCAAAACTGTATGTCAACAAAACATTAAAGACATTTTACAACCCTCATACATGACAAATGAAATTAAACTACAAGTCAAGACAAACTTCTCTTGCCAAGAGCTTCCGTTGCAATGTCCTAACATGCCACCTTTCTAAGGCTTTTGGATATAAATTAAACAGAGCAGAAACAATAACATGTTCACTGTGCCTTCATGGCAACAATATCATATTCTTGTATACAATGTTCAAAATAATGACTACTAAGGACAATGTTATAAACCTGAGAGCTTTGCACATGTACATAGTAAAAGTATTCATACGGTCCTGAATACCTGAATACAGATTTTAAGTAAAATTTAACTACTGCAGTAATTGCCATCCAGCTCCTTTTGGCAGGCTGAGAGCCAAAGAACAGTATGGCAGCTACAGATTCCCATTTCCCTAAATAAATAGCAATTCGATTATGTCTTTCAAGTCGGAAAACTAATTTGACGCTTCAATCAACGTTTCGTTATCAATCAAATTTCCATAGAGCCTCAAAATTCAGATGTAAAATTTAACTACTGCAGTAATTGCCATCCAGCTCCTTTTGGCAGGCTGAGAGCCAAAGAACAGTATGGCAGCTACAGATTCCCATTTCCCTAAATAAATAGCAATTCGATTATGTCTTTCAAGTCGGAAAACTAATTTGACGCTTCAATCAACGTTTCGTTATCAATCAAATTTCCATAGAGCCTCAAAATTCAGATGCAAAAGAAACTGACTAAAAGCTCTTCTATTTATAAATAGCAATTTGATTATGTCTTTCAAGTCGGAAAACTAATTTGACGCTTCAATCAACGTTTCGTTATCAATCAAATTTCCACAGAGCTTCAAAATTCAGACGCAAAAGAAACTGACTAAAAGCTTAATCCTTCTATTTATTTTGCACCAAGTGAGGATTTGTCAGGACAAAGTGGGCAAGCTGGAAGTATCAACTATGAGATACCATGACTACCTGCTCCAGTGCTGCACCACTGAATGCCACCTGTAATTTACAGATTTGCAACGCTGATTGCTGATCCCTGACCTAGAAGACAAAGGATCTGGATAACATGCAGAATACAAACACCAACATTGTCTTTACCACACCTAAAGGTGTCATGAAAGGAGTCTTTTATTCAGCAGCTCAGACAAGAAAACTAAAATAAGTCTTTTGCAACACAAGAATCTAAGCTTTTAAACAGGTTTCAAGAGCCTGGGATTTTAAGGGAAATTCCTCCCTAGAGACAAGGCCTGTGTGACACGTGCTTGACTAGTAGAGCTTTTGTTTAATGTCCCTAGACAGCACTCATTGGCAAACCTCGGTTTTACAAGCAAACCAAAGTGAAAATACAGGCAAACTAGTAGTTTTGAAAATAATAAACACAGGTGAAGGGAGAGGAGAGGGTTAAAGAAGAAGCATTGAGAGCTTCAAGCTCCAAACACTTCTCTAGGGAACTTAGTGATGGTAACTTTTGGAATGACAAAGGTGACATTTCTCTAACATTTCTAGAGGCTTACTGGAAGCCAACACCATTTTCATGCCACTGCAACGACTTCTTTTATGTGAAATATTTATTGCATCATGATCTCCTTGACAATAACATCACATTTCTGTCTTCCAATCAGTTGAGATACAACCTGTATTTCAGTGCCTTTAAAGGCACTAGGGGCACTCCCAGCATTTAAAATGCATTTTAATTAGGCCATTTAGACAAACCTCCAAGCTGGTCAAATTTTCCCTCCCTTACTGAGGACACAGGTCACCGCATACTAATTCAACTGCCTGAAATCAGCCTGTGGCTGTGGAGAAGTACTGACGTATACTCAGAAAAGTACAGAAAATCTTTCCAGAGCTGCTAACTAGAATGATGAAAGCAACAAAGCCTATCCACAATGTTTTCCAGGAACAGCAGCAGGTTAGAAAAGCATACAGAAGCAGTGAAAATCTCTTGCAGAACAATTTACATTGAAACTCAGGGCCTCTAGTTTCAGCACTTGCTCAAAACACAGCTAATTTCAGTGGAACACTGAACAAGAACAAAGATCCCTCGATCTCTCTGAGCACACATTCCAGAGTCTCACCATCCTCATGGGGAAGACTTATTCCTTTATATCCAGCTTGGAGCGTCCTCTGGTGAAGTTGGTATGAGTTTTGTCTCGTGTTTTTGCTGTGCTTTTGTAAGAAGCACTTGGCTTTGCCTTCCCTATGATTCCCACCCACTCAGCAGCTGAAACAAGCAGTTAGGGCTGCTCCTGTGCCTTCTCTGCTCCAGGGTACAAACCCAGCTCCCTCAGCCTCTCCACATACACCATGTGCTGCAGTCCACAGCCCTGCTCAAAGCCTTCCTGCTGGAGCTGTTCCTGTTTGTCCATCCACCTGTATTGCAAAGCCCCACACTGGATACTGGTGCAGCCTCACAGCTCCCAAGCAGATGTGAACAATCATGCTCCTCAACCTGCTCTTACCAGTGGAGCCCAGTGCAGGCTCAACCCTTTGCTGCTGCAAGGGCACACTGCTGACTCCCACCCAAAGTTCAGGGGACTCACAGAACAGCACATGCAAAGATGCAAATATCACACTCCACCCCAGCAGGTGCCAAGATGGCTCAAGTCCCCCCAAGAGAGCCAGGGCCTTGGATCACGTTTCTTCTTGTCTCTAGGCAGCTTTCTCATCCTGATGGGGCAGGTGTGATGCAGATGCTCACTACAATGCCCTCCCCTCTCTAACCCTACCCTGTAAGCATATGACAGACCCACAGCCCCTCTGCAGCACAGCACTGCACACTCAGGCTGTACCTCTGCAGAAACAAAAGCCTTCCTGAGCTTTATATCCATCTTCCCTGCCTGGCCTGCATAAGGAGTGTGCACTCCAGCACTCCAGCTGCAGGACCACGTTTCTGGACCACCAGGGAGATCACAGGCCTACAATGCACACACTTCTCCCTTTGCCTGGCCATTTCTCATCCGTGCTGGGTATTCATGTGCACCCGAGATGAGCCTCCAGGCACATGGCTTCTGAGCTATCCCACATGCATTACCCCACTCTGTCCCTCCATTTATCTGCTGAAAAAATCATGTTAGTTACCTTCATGTTAAATACAGCACTGTAAAAACATTCAAGCCTGCCTACACTAGCTACCAACAAGTTAGGGGTTTTTTTTTCTTTTTTAAACAAGCTGCTACTTTTATTATAAGTTTAGACTGATTCATGAGAATGTTCTACAAACTTGGAAATTTTACCCTGCTAGCCATTTATTCACCTCAAGCTTCCTGAATCTGACTCTGCTAGAGACAGGACTCGTTTCTACAATGTGGTCCCCATGCAGAGTGATATTTAGGAACACAAAAGAAAAGCTCAAAAGAGGCTTGAATGAGAGCAAGTGGTGTTTGAGTACAGCCTTTATCTCCAGTGAGAACCCTGCATCAACTCTGCCATGGGACACAGACATATAACAGGTTCAGCCACAGTATATAGAGAACTAGAAAGGTGAGCTGAAGTCTTATATTTGTGCCCTGCATAAATGTCAGACAGTTTCCGCCAAAAATAGAAAAAAGTTATATATACTCAGCACGAACTCTCTCCTCAGGACATAACAGAACAGGCACTATTTTACACTGTGCCACATCTCTCAGACTTTGCAGTATCTGAAGAATAAACATTACATACTGAAGCTGCTTGCTGTATTACTGCCACTTGTGTTATGCAATTAATATATACATTTGCACTTCCTGTCTCTGCAACTACATTTTAATTTCATAAATGTGCTGACTACAAGAAAAGGAGCAAGAACCTCATGTTCTTCTGAACATACCACATGGGACAAGTAGGGCTGTATCTTTCAGACTGACGATTGATAATTATTTTCTAATCAAGGAAAACCAGCCAGACATGGGCAGAGCTCCACACCTTACAAGACAGGCAAGTATCAGGAACTCCTGCTTTCTCAGCTCTCATTAGGAGCTGTTCTAATCAGTAAACATCATTTTAGCTGAAGCATGTGCACTATGTGCTTTAGTTTGTGTTGTTACTGTAGCAATGGTTAATAGTGACTACTGATGCTACACTGTGTTCTATTCACCCGCAGAGGTTAGCAACAGACTGCACACCTTACAAGACAGGCAAGTATCAGGAACTCCTGCTTTCTCAGCTCTCATTAGGAGCTGTTCTAATCAGTAAACATCATTTTAGCTGAAGCATGTGCACTATGTGCTTTAGTTTGTGTTGTTACTGTAGCAATGGTTAATAGTGACTACTGATGCTACACTGTGTTCTATTCACCCGCAGAGGTTAGCAACAGACTGCAGATTAAAACTGTGTTCTATTCACCCGCAGAGGTTAACAACACACTTCAGATTAAAAACTACTGAAAGAAGTTGATTCCTTTATCTCCAAAAGATGACTTGCACCACCTGCAGGTCTTAGCAGAGGGTTACAACAGCCTAACTTCTTAAAATAAAAGTTAAACTTTCAGACGCAAAGTCTACACTACTGGAAAATAGTTAAAATACCTTCTGTATAAGCAAAACAAGAGGCTTACTTCAAAACCCTGTCACCTAGTATCAGTCCAACTTGGGGAGGTCCACTTAGTTTGAGGAGTTTTATTCTGGTTAAATGGGGTCTTTCAACATAGCACACTTCAAGCTAATAATCAGAAACTCCCCTTGACAGCAAAGGAATCAAAGTAACACCAGTCCAGGTATATCCTTCTCAAACCAACTATGTGTTCTAAATTACAGTCCGTAACTGTTAAAACAGCCCCAATATACTGCAAAGATTATAAAAAACATGTTGGTGACTGCGTATTTTTCGAAAGATATTTGAATCAGTCCCACAAACAGATTCTCTTTTCATGCTTGCTCATTTGGATTAAAAAAAAGGAACAGTCCCACACACTTTGAAAACCCTGAAGTTTGGGAAGATGGCACAGCTTTCAAGTAAAAAAAATTGCTTTTATCCCGAAGAATTAAATTCATCAAAGTAGTACCTGAAAACAAGATGTATTCAGACAGGTTTAGCTATGCAGCAGAACAAAGTAAAAAGTATGACTATGGTATGTCAGTGGCTCCAAGTACAGATTAAAATAAACTACTTTTAACAAATTGCAGCTCCAGTGGCTATGTGGCTGGGCAAGACACAAGAGGTTATCAATGGACCTCTTTCAACTTTGTGACACTTGGATACACTGACCTTTACAAGCTTCACTAAGAGCTTATCTCCATTTAATTATTCCCCTCCTCCTTTAAATATAGCTTTTCTTACATGCAGTCAACATCAGCCATACCAAATCGCAACACAAAATGCAGAGATGATCCTAACTCTACAAAACAGGTCAAGTTACATTTTCTGCCTACAACTCAACCTCAGTCTCATACAGAAGATACCATCTCTTTTCCAAACTTGTAAGATTTCTGATGCAAATGAGCAATCTCTTTTCCAAACTTGTAAGATTTCTATGCAAACGAGCTAACAAGTCTGAAATAAAAGTTAAAATTTCAAATATTTACTTAGGGCTGCCCCTTCGCCTTCAAATGTTCAAATATCAATGACATAAGAAAACTGCATAATGGGAGTAATAACTTTCAAAATCTTAAAACCAACAGAAGCATAAAATTAAATCTGGCTCAGATCTTGGGATTCCAAATCAACAGAAGCACAAGATTCTGGGTACTTAGTCAAGAACTAACAATGCAAGCTTTTGTAACATGTGCAATAGTACGATATGGCATTCAATAAACCTGGGAACAAATATTTCACTGTCACATTAGCAACATTTCTAAGTGGGCTCTGATCAAGTTACTACATGCCGTACCACAAATGGTTAGGAAAAGTAGAAAAACCTGTTGAAGAGAAGCAGAATCATTTGGTCTCCAGAAATCTAGAGAGAAAACTATCCTGGTTTTGGCTGGGATAGAGTTAACTTCTTCTCAGTAGCTGGTACAGTGCTGTCTTTTTGGATTTTGACTCTCTTCCCCATTCCATGGGTTGGAGGGTCAGGGGGAGGTGAATGAGCAGCTGTGCGCTTAGTTGCCAGCTGGGATCAAACCAGGACAATTACTCGTTGCATAACTTACTTAAATATCAGCATGTCCAAGTCAAAAATAATTTTTTTGCTAATAGGGATCTGTGCTAAAACCCAACAGCACATACAGGCATAACTGCAATGCCTTATCTGACATAGAAGCCTTAAAGAAGATATCAAAGTTAAATTCAGTTTTCTGGCCTCTTCTGCTTTGTCAAGACACACTTTAATATACATTTGGCAATGCATTAACCTGCTGATCACTAGAGTTGCATTAAGTTTGGGTTTATGCTAATAGGGATCTGTGCTAAAACCCAACAGCACATACAGGCATAACTGCAATGCCTTATCTGACATAGAAGCCTTAAAGAAGATATCAAAGTTAAATTCAGTTTTCTGGCCTCTTCTGCTTTGTCAAGACACACTTTAATATACATTTGGCAATGCATTAACCTGCTGATCACTAGAGTTGCATTAAGTTTGGGTTTAGATCACAAGAATTATATTCAGCTGCAGGAGTTTAAAAAACATGCAACTTTTATTTGCATGGTGAACATAACCAAGACACAGAGCAGGAATACAGTCTTTGCAGTTCTCCTTTCTGAAGGATTGAGAAGTATCTGTACATTCTCAGCAAAGATTTGCCAGACTCTCTAAGGCTTCTTAGCAACTGATACTGCTATCTGCTGGTAGGGCAGCCACACAGCAACAGAGAGCAGGATGAGAAAATGAGAAAGAAAAAGACCATTCATATTTGGGCCACAGTATCTAGGCAAGATAAGAGTGACCTACTGCAAGCAAAGACACCTTTTCTTTTTTCGTGAAATAGGAAGAGGTCAGTACTGCTTAATTGTCTGGGTGTTTTGTTCATTTTTTTTAAACTGTTAAACTTGAAGTGACATTAAAATACTATTACACAGACAGAGCATTTGCAACATGAATGGTAGTCAGGAAGTGGCTGCTACACTACCTACGCCTGCAGCATAGAGTCATGTGACCACCTAAACATATTGTACTTGCTCTTTAAAATGTGTAACTGTAAAAAGCATTTGATCTAACAGTAACTTGTCCATTTGCATCTTAAGGAACAGTATCTTCTGCTTTAACTACAATGCATTACAGGACAGTATACAAACACCTCCACCCACTATTATGTCTTGGTTGTAGTATTTTGTGCTTAAAAAGAAAGAGCCTTATACAAAATAGTTACTAACTTGTGTAAGTCTATCAAACAAGTAATACCGTTACCTTTCTTCAATTCTGTTCTTGTCCATAAGTGGTTGTTTGATCCACTGATTAACTAGCCTTTGTCCTTGAGGTGTTCTGCATTTATTCAGCAAACCAGCTAGAGACTGTGCATTATTAGCATTTTCCACAGAACTCTGGAAAGAAAAAAACATAAAAAGTTAGTCGAGTTTACTGACATGCACTGAATGGCACACAAATTTGCTACCTAGGAACAGATCAGGTTTTTTTCCTATTCAACTTGGTACCGATCAAAAAAAGGCAAATGAAACAGCATGACATTGAAATATTTACACTCTGGTCCCTGGAACATGGCAAGTAAGGAACATTTTGAAGTAAGCCTATTTTGAAACCAATCCTGACTGAACAGGAAAGTTAAAAATGTCCCTAGTTACAGAGCAGTTTGCCCTTTGAATAGAAAAACACACCTTGAGTACTGTGTGCAGTTCTGGACCCCTCAGTTCAGGAAGAATATTGAAGTGCTGGAGCAGGTCCAGAGAAGAGCAATGAGGCTGCTGAAGGGACTTGAGCACAAGTGCCATGAGGAGAGGCTGAGGAAGCTGGGGGTGTTCAGCCTGGAGAAGAGGAGGCTCAGGGGAGACCTTATCATCCTCTACTCCTCCCTGACAGGAGGTTGGAGTCAGGTGGGGGTTGGTCTCTTCTCCCAGGCAACCAGCAGTAGGACAAGAGGGCACAGACTCAAGCTCTGCCAGGGGAGGTTTAAGTTTGATATAAGGTAGAGATTTTTTATGGAGAGAGTGATCAGGCATTGGAATGGGCTGCCCAGGGAGGTGGTGGATTCACCATCCCTGGAGGTTTTCAAGATGAGATTGGATGTGGCACTTAGTGCCATGGTCTAGTGACCACAGTAGGGTTAGACTCGATGATCTTGGAGGTCTCTTCCAACCTGGTTGATTCTATGATATTTGCCAGTTTGCCCTTCAGAAGGTCAAAACATAGGGGCCCTGTCATTTCAGAAAGAGCAGCAAGAAACAGGACTTGGGTATGAGGATTTCACTTGGAGATCTTTAGCAGGGTGTGGGACAGGGATGAGATGGGACACACCACAACAGAACAGGGCAATGGGAAAGAATACAGTTATCCAAATTCTCTCAAGCTTCCCTAGATCATCTTTGGACTACTACAAACATCTCTAAACTTACTGTGTTCAGATTACAGTTTACTGTCTATAATTTAGGTTTAATATTAGCTGGACTCAAGATAGCCTTTTGGGCATTTTTCCTGGGGTTTTGTTTATTTTTTGCACAAACAGCTAGGAAATAAAAATTTTGTTTAACATTGAAAAAGAGCAAACAAGCTTGTTTCAACTCTTGACTTTGAAATGAACATGTCAACCCTCTCTACACAAGAACAGCTGCAATTAAAACAGCAGGCAAGCACTCAACCAGGAGCAGGTCTGGATGCCTGTGAACAACTAGAACATAGGAACAGAATCGGGACAACAGGAAATGAAGACAGCGAGAAGGAATATTGACACATTTAGTCCCAGTAATAACAATATCTAATATCTAAAGTGGATGTGCCTATTTTCAGTGTTGCAGACAGCATTACATATGAAAAGCTTCTGAATGTAAGAAAGTGTCACAGAGTACATATATTATATACTAATAACTTACTTCAGAACATCCCATTTGGAAGGCTACCATTCCACATAACCAACTGCATCTGCTGCATCACAGAACTTACATACCTGACAGAGCAATTCAAATTACAATATATTTTGCCTTTGCTTTAGTTCCTGCCCAAAAGCCTCCCCACAGCCAGCCTGCCACACAGGCAGCTTCCTGCTCCATAGCAAACTCTTCATTCTAAAGCCCACAACAGCTCCTCAAGACAGACATAGCAGTGTATTTCCTATCACAAAACACGTAACACCTGCAAGGACTTATAAGGAACTAAGCTAAAGCAGAACTTCCTAGAACACTTCCATAAAGCTTAAGAAGAGATACAATTTTTGCTTCATTCCCTAGACAGTAGCACAGCATCATGAAATAAAGGAAATTAAAAAAAAACCCAAACAAAACTCAGAACATCTCTCTCCAGGGTTAACCAGCTCAGATGCTGAATATATGCTGTTTGCTTCCAGAAAACCCTCTGAGGTAAACAGGGGACCATTATCTGTGATTTCTTCCTATAAATCTGAAGCTCTAGTGGATTAGCTCTAAGCAAAGATCACTAAGCAGAGTTTACTAATGTGAAAATAGAAAAGCTGATACAACACACCACTTTGAGATCACATATTTCTCCAGATATAAAAAGGGGCAAAGCAGAAAAAGAGATGTGGCAGGAGGCATGCAGAAGCCTGATAACCTGTTTGGATTTGTAGAAAAAGTGTGTAAAACAGTTGAATTCACATTGTCCGGGTAGCATGCCATGATGCTTTCAGAATGTTAAGTACTGTCCTGTTCACTCGAGCTCGCTGCAGCCAGTTCTCCCTTCCCATCACCAACAGCACTGCTCCTGCCATATGGTACAAGTTCCCCTAATACCGTTGAACTCAGGCTTGTACTCTCTTCCCCAAAACCAGCACTACTGTATAAAGCAACTGTGCCTTGGCACTCCCTGTCATAGCACAAAACTACAGAACTCTCCTCCCCTCCCACACCCCAAGTCTGCCCGTGCCACTGGAGATGTGACCTTCTCTGACTAAAACCAAGAAAAGACACAGCACTCCCCTCACTGCTTAGCCAGACTCCTCAGCAGCTACAACCATGAGGTGCTTCTACAGCTCCTGTTATACCTGTACTGGGAGTTGCAACTGTGCAGTTGGGTTACTTATCAAGCAGCTAAGTAAGTATATGGTAAAACAGTTATTGACTCAAGTGTTTATTTCTTACCTGAAAAAGGTTGAGGGCTTGAACAGCTGCATTGTCTAGAATCATATATTGACTAAGATCAAATGTAGTCAGTTCAAATTGTCCAAAATTAGACTCATCTGACAGAAGCTCTAAAAACTTGATAATGGCTGACAAAGACGAAATAGCAACCTGAAGTTTAGTTAAAAAAAAAACACACCACATTCGAGTTAGAAACACTCCTGAATCCAAGAGTATCTGATAGCTGCTCCGAGAGAATTACAGTTGGGGATGACTTTGAGCTAAGTCAATTCCAGCAGGACTGTAAGAGACTCATCCTGTTCAACAAGGCTTCATTTCCATAGAGATGTTCTATGGCACTGCAATGTCTGTCTAGGTAGGTGCAAGAACAACATTTGCATAATCTGATAAACAAAATGTGAAGTGCACACCTTGCCAGCTTTCCAAAACTGTTATCAGGACGTTTCCAGCTCAGGAACACAAACAAGTTACTGCAGATATATGAGATATCATGGATCATCTCAGGACGTGGTTTCAGGGTTAGTTTTCAGCCAGAACAAGGATCTGATCTGACTCACTGCATGGCATTACAAATGCCAGTGCAGCCCAAAAGAGAGGCAGTAGGATGACTGACTTGTTCCGCTGCAACACACTTCAATCACTTTTAATCTGCTATGAAATGACACATTACAGGAGGATAACTCTGAACTTTACACCTGCAGAGAGCATCTGCAGCAAGGGGCATTTTAAAACATGTTGATCAGAACAAATTGCCTCTTGTTTGCAGCCAAGAACAAACATGCAGGCACTAAATCATATACTTAAGTCATAAGACAACACAAAAATATTACCATAAACATTACTTTGCTATCAAATACCAATTTGCCTGTTATGCAAAACAACCAAAGCATTGTGTTTCAGTCCTTGGGCTAGATAGATTATGAATAGGAGGCACCTCTTGTGCAGCCTATTTGCTTACCAGAGTTTACTACTTTAAAGAGATGCATGAAGGGTGATTTCCAGAGCCCCTGGTATCCAGCTTTGACATAGACTCAAGTTGAGCAGAACTGCTAAACACTTCACCAAGAACGTAGAGGAAATCACCTCACATCAGGCGCACACACCACTCCACTTCTAAAAAAACAGAGGCACATTAAACACTGCTCTGTGCTTACCTGCTTTTCCATCTCTGGCAGTGCTGCACTATTCACCTGTTCTTCTTTTTTTGACTTCAACAAGCGATTGAGATCCTGAACAATATCTTTTGTCGTGAAATCCGCCTTCTTCCTGTCTGTAATCAGGATTCCTCCCCTCTGAATGACCTGTTGTTCACAAACACACACAGTATTGCTTTCAGTATTCAGGGGACAGATGTTCACCACATAGAAGCAAACCCTGAAGAGATGTTTACTTACTGCTAGGCTGCAGAGAGAATGACAGACAAGATTTTAGAACAACTTTTGCTTGTTAAAATGCAAATGAGTCAACAGACAAATAATGCATAGAGTTAACATATTTCTCCTTCATTTTCCCACAAATCATAGAGCCTAGCTAGTAAACTAAAATATAGTTTTTTAGATAAAAAACTGTGCCTGTTAGCCGCAATGGTTCCCTTACTTGTCGCAGCTTTCCCATCTCTCCTGCAGTCTCTCCTCCTGGTAGCACACACTCCTTCGGTCCTAGTTGAACCAGTAGAGCTTCAAGGTTTGAGAACTGATCATTATCTGGAAACTCACAAACACTCAATTTTCTCAGGGTAGTGTCGACATAGCCCACTCCTACTACTCTTTGTCCATCAGCATTAGATAGCTTAACGCCCACGACCCCAATGGCCATGGACATATCATTGTTGGCAAAGAGAACTTCCTCAAACTGGGCAAGATTTCCTGGAGAACCCTATTTAGAAAAGAAAAACACTTTTTAGAGTGTGTATATGCACATACTTTCTTTTTTCTTTAGAAAGAACAGTAATGGATAAAACTAAGTACTAAACAGTCCACTAGTATAAAACATACAGCTGTTCTATTTTGTTTAGCCATTCAAATTTTACATATCATCTACACAGAGCAAAGTACCTCAGGTTTCCTTTATTTCCCAGCCTATGGCAAGGATACTGAACAAGCTCTTTCAGTCTCACAGCAGTAGAAAATACAGCAATGTGTAACAGGTATATAACCCATACATAACAAACACATATGGTTTACCATCATAAATCCATGTCAGTCTCTTAAAATCCCACAACTCCAAGCAGAGGAGCTCAGGAAAGAGCTATAGTGTTTTTTTTCTTTCACCTCACAATTATAAAGAAAGGTTGAAAATTGCACCTTGTAAGCTAAATACCAGTCATTTTCTTTGGTGGATTTACTCCCTGCTTTGTTCTTGTAAACTTCCACTCTGTAGTGACGAACCAGAAGCAGATCTCTCACAAAAGATTCAAAGTTCATTTTACTAAGCACAACACTCTCAAGCTTCTGCGTTCCTACAAGAAAACAAACAAACAAACAAACAGAGACCTGAAGTTATTCATTTAGCTTTCTATAATCAAAATCCCCAAGAACAGCCTTCTGGAAAGCCACTATTTCAATATCAATGAACCAAGCATGTAGAATCCACGAAACAACAGAAAACTCACAACATCAACTGGTTAATACTAATGAAGAAAGCAAACTCTATCTCTAAATAAAAGCAACGTTCATTTCCAAATTTCACTAAATCTATATGGTAATATATACAAAGAGATCTGTTCCTCTCACCCTTCTCCTCTCCTTACAACAAAGAGATCTGTTCCTCTCACCCTTCCCCTCTCCTTATGATATTCCTGCCTTGGTTTACTAATTAACATTTCACACATTTTGATCTAATGAGTGGTAGAAGCCTGCTACAAGGTTTCCTTCTGGATAACATCTTTTCTTTCCTGGATAAGCAGCTTCTGTTGACAGAACAGACTGTCACCCTACTTGCACTCAGATGGCAAGACACGTGTGCCAAGACGTGTCCTTTTTATCACAATATAGTCCACAAAAATAACATATTCTCAAACAAAAAGTTTAATAGTTTACATTAAAAGCTAACTTAGAGAGTGGCTAATTGATAAGCTGCTTGCTTCTGCTCCTATAGGAGTGCAGGCAGATGATGCAGCTGAACAAGTTTAATTCCACACAGCTGCCAAGAGGAGCAACACCACTTCCACCTCCAGCACCAGCCTTCTTGCAGAATGAGGTAACTCCAGTCCTGAACAAACTGGGTAAGTACATTAAGTTTTTTGCCAGATTGGGAAGTGGAATTAACTCAGACTGCTGTCAGATACGAGAGCTAGCAAGCACAGCCAATAGACAGGGAATACCACATTCTTCTTTTTAGCAGCATGACTTCATCACATTTAAGGCTCTTCCTCCCTTGACATGAAAGATGTTAAAACCGCAAATTTCCATGCTCATAGGAATTAATGAGTTTTTAATTTTCTTTCCTCTCCTCAAACATCTAGTAAGACTTTTCGTTTGGAAACAGGTTATAAAAACCTAATTCTGCATAATTAGGTTATCTTTCCCAGTGCAGAACTGTCCAACAAAACACAATTTTTCCTACTTTTTCAGTTGAGACTGCAATGTACACTTGGGGGGTTATGTCAGCTGAACTTTAGGTGTGCTTTGAAATCTTCCTGAAAGTAAAGAGTGCAGTTTTATGCTGACTTCTAGATGGATAAGGTAGATTAGGCTTTAAAGGGCTTACAAGAGGCTTACATCTGTGAATGATAACTTTTAAATAGAATACAAAAACAGTGATACATGTGTTCATAGTCCAGAAGATACATCAAGCTCATAGCTTGAAACTATCAAGCTCTACAACTTCTCAGAAGTTGTTAGGTTTTTGTTTGGTTTTATTTGTTTGGTTTGGGGGAGAGGCTGGGATGGTTTTCTTGTATTTTACATGAGCTCACCACTCACAACAGAAAGTGAAAAACACATGCATAATGCCATTGCTCACACACACAAAACAGAGAGGTTTATTTTGCAAAGTATTAAGGCAGTAACTTAGCAACATTGTGCTCTTCAAGTTTAAGGCTAATACTAAGGTTTGTCTCTTCTGACAAGATCATTTATCTTTATGCCCTTACATCCAACATCTGCAAGCTCCAGCATCCTATACCAAGTGATAAATGAAAAGCAGCAGGGGTGGATGGAAGAGAGAACTTTATGCAATACATAAACACTACTTATTTCTGCAGGCCGTTGGTAAACCACTGTTTTCCCAGCACCTGCACTACAGAACTGCATGAGTTCCATCCTCAGTTATCACAGAAAATATCATGCCATCATTTTCTCAGACAGAAATCCACCAACGTGCTGGGAAAATGTCATCAGTCCCTGCAGCATGTGCTCAACCAAGCATCCACATCCGACAGTCCTGCAGCACGAGCTTGCCTGACGTGATTTCTGCTGGAGATACCTTCCTACGTCTGTACACCTACATCTGCCATACACGTCCTACTCAGCACGGCTACTAATCACCACCTCAGCGCTGCGAGAGGCTTTAGAAAAAAAGATTCGCGTTCAGCTACGCTTGACTCCGAGCCGCAATGAATCCGAGCGGACACCGAAACCCGGAGACCTCTCAACACCTCCCTCCCCACATCCATCCGCACCGAGCGCGGCAGGAAGGGCCCGCGGCACCGCCTGA